GTATACTTTTTTTTTAGTATAGATAGTATTTATTTACCTCATGATATGCTGCAAAACCTAATTAATCACGAATTTCTAATTTTATGTACTCTTGTCTCCGATTGTACCTCCCAAACATCCTTAAGGAACCCTGAACCTACCATAAATTTTACTAAAACTTCAACTAAAACAAGGATCGGTCCTTTACCATCAATACTTTTCTTAACAACTTTAATAATCCATCAGTAATTCCTTTACCTATCCTACATTATACAAATTGACATTGTCTAATTCAAGCAATTATTATTTATCCATAATTTTCTTCGATTAGCATACTCCTCAAATGCAACATATTACCTATTACTTTCACTAATATTTCGTATTCGAACAGTATTAATCTGTTGCTGACTTTTTAGAAAAACCGTTTCTCACTAGAAAGTGGTACATAATAATGCAAATTTAATTAACTTTTTTCTAGTATAACAACAATAATACAATAACGATAATATATATTTAAAGACATATGGCGATTAAATGAAGGAGGCCTACCTCTTTGGGTCTTTGGAATCGACTACATGCAGGTGAAACAACAACTATTATATCCAACTTCAGAAAATAATCACATAACTTTTTGTCCAATTAAATAATGTCAACTAAACAAAATCACATTAACATTTAGTGTACAAATTCGATTAGCGAAACGGCATTCTCAACAAATCTCACGACACTGAATTAAATCAGTTTACAAAGTTGTTACTTTTCCTGAACTTTGACAATCGTCTTTCTTGGTCAAGGAATTTGTTTCATAGTACCTACCAAAGCGACGGGCTCTCACAGGTCTAGGTAAGTGGATGTAATTGTATCTAGTACCATGGTTACCTTTTTTTGGTAAGAACGATCGCATCTTTTACTTTCATTCTTTGTCATGTAAGTAAGTAACTATCTAACTAGAAAGCAAAACTATCGAAGCAAATAGCAAACGTTGATATACGATTAGTGAAGGTCATTTTAGAGGGAGTGGAATGGACTTCTTTGGTACAAACACACAGATGACCATTAATTGATGAAAAGTTCCCTGTAATACATGCGAAAGCGAGTGCAAGAAAGATAGCCAATTTCGCTACCTTTCTTCATCCGCACACCTTTCATGTTCTAATTCCTTTTTTTCCATTCCGGTTATAGCAAATATAAATAGCCCGATTTAATAACCATGAACCATTAACGTAGCGATACTCACATAGAACTCTTGTGATTTCATTTAGTTTGTGTAATGGCTTCCAAATTTGCAGTAAGTACACATTAACTATTTAAATAATTCATTAAATACATCCTCAAAAATCGTTTATTTTATAACCAACTAGCCCGTAGAAAACGTTCACATCCAAGCATATATGATTGGATTCAACTTTTGACGCGATCCAAACTGATCCAATTGCAAAATTGTTAAATAAATCTTTTATACGCAGTATCGATTTGCATTATTATTTATTTATTTAATAGATCTCCAAAAACGATTGAAAAAGAAATTTGGGAGATAATTATAGACAAATAACAAGCACTTGCCATAATAAAATACATAT